TGGTCGAGATCCTCCTACTCTGCCAACCAATTTTTTTGGTCGTTGAAAGTAATTTTTGCCGACCAAATTAGCGACTAACATGTATGGTCGTTGAAAGTAATTTTTGCCGACCAATTTTGTTGGTCGTTGAAAGTAATTTTTGCCGACCAAATTAGCGACTAACATGTATGGTCGTTGAATGTAATTTTTGCCGACCAAAGTCTTTTCGCGACTAAATAGGTTAGTCGCAATAATTATATGTTTAGCGACCAACAATTTAGTCGCCAAATAGAATGTTTTGCCGACTAAAAATCTTTTTAGTCGCTAATTACTTTCCGCGACCCTCAATTGCCGACCAACTTGGCGACCAAAAAAATTGGTCGGGAATATGTTTTGCCGACCAAAAATGGACTTTTAGCGACCAATTTTTTGGTCGGCAAATGTGTTAATTCTTGTAGTGTGCACATAGAAACAAATCAGAAGTTAAAATTCTCCAAATTATCAAAAGTTCTTTCCACCCCAAAACCAGCATTAAAATTTGAAAATGTTACAAGAAGCAAAATTTGAGTTGACATTCTAACTGAGTTAACAAAATTTGTTCCATAGACTTTTAATATTCTTTTGTTATATCTAATTATATTATATATATAAATATATTATTTATTTATATATTATTAATTATATCAAATCGGGTTTGGATCGGGGAAGGTAATATCTGCCCCTGCCCTACATAAGTGTTAGGGTGGATAAAATTCGTCCTATTTGGGTGGGTATGAGCGGGCTCCTACGGATCAGATTAAAATAGCTATCCCTAGCTATTATTTATTAGATCAATATGACATAATCCATTAAATTAATGGCAAAATTGAGTAAATTAAAATAATATAGACTAAATTGACATATCGTGTAAACTATAAGAACCATTTGCATAATTTACCTAAAAAAATATGGAAGAAGCTAAATTTGCAACAACTTTTACTTTGTGAAGTTTAGAGGCATTGTCTATAATAACTTCATTTTATTTATTTATATTTTTTCTTAGAGTTTATGCCTAAATATTAGTTGCTACTTTGTTTATAACTTAGCTTGTTTCACATGTTGGATATTAGTACATTTTTTTATAATATGTTTTTTTTGATTGTATCACTACAACAAAAAGTACCTTCGGCGACCAAAATTGGCGACTAAAAAAAATTTAATCACCAAAAGTTGTGGAATTGGCGACCAAAATATTTTTTAATCGGCAAAAGTAAAATATTTAGCTACAATTTATTTTTAGTCGGGGTATATTGGTTATTGGCAACTAAAACAAAATTTAGTCACTAAAAATGACAGAATTGGCGACAAAAAAGAATTTTAGTCGCCGTATATTGAGTTTCGGCTACTAAAACTATTTAGTCACCGAATGGAAGATAAAAAATTATTTTTTACCTGCCCAAAGTTTATTTTCAACAACAAAAAAGAATTGTAGTCCCTGTATATTGAGTTTTGGCTACTAAAACCATTTAGTCGCCAAAAGGAAAATAAAAAAT